GCTTTCAATATAGTTAAGTTTTGATGGAATACAAAACAACTAACCCATTCATATATTGACCTTAAATTCTCCTTTAAGTTTATGTTTCATATTCATTCCTGTTATATTTAGTTCATGTTAAACTGTTTTAATATTAGATTCCCAGCATCAATTTTATTTGGTCGGAAAAAATAGAATGATTATTTTGAAAATATATAATTATGAAAGATAATCTGTTCACTCATAGAATTATATGTTCCGTTATCTGTTTTATGATATATATATGCGTATATATGGTAAAGTATAGTGTATAGACGAGCTTAACATAACCTTGATTGATTGCTATCTAGTTTTTAAGCCAAACAAAAAACAGTTTATTTGAATGGATAGCATATGGAAAAAAACATTGATATTATTAAGTTTAGACAGATTTTAATGTGGTTTTGTGGAGATTGTAGTAATTTTAACAGTTGAATTTATGTGTCGATTGAAGCTAGGCCATCATTGAAAACCTGGAAGCATTGGACGACCGTTTCGTCTTCGAATGGGGCTCCCCAGCAGTGTACGTCTACTATCTACTATCACGAGTTTCGAACCCAGAACAGTGGTTCAATTTCGTGGGTTGGTTGAAGTTAGACAATAATACTGTTGGATACCAGCCCACTGGTTTAGAGATTAAGCTGTTGCGCCCCGAAACCGAAGGTTTAATGTTCGAGTCTCACGGGCGGGGTCGTGGATGTGGACTGCTGAAGAGTTCCATTCTGGTACGAAACGGCCGTCCAGTGCTTTCAGGTTTTCAATGGGGGTCTAGCTTTAATTGACTCATGAACTCAACTATCAAAATTATTAATTCTGCTAATGTCTTCCACAAACTATTCTGTCTGTAAATTTAAAAATAGTGTCACATAAACTTGTACTGACTAATATGAATTATCCATATTCTCAGACCTTTTAAATAATCCAAACCGACTTTTAAAGGTCCCCTAGTTAGTATTAAATATTCAGGATTTGGATTAGAGAATTGAAATTCTCATCACGAAATGATATCAGCTACAAAGTAAAATGCTCTGTAGTCATACTAATCAATAAATTGCACTCGAAAATAGAAGAGGGGCTATCTAAGGGTTTTGTCAATAATATTAAGTACCACAAGGTTCAAGTTTGTTTCAGGACGAAGGGTGAGAAATTAAAGATAGTTTCGACTTCCTTGCTATATGCAATCTATGGAGGTAGAATTGAGTACTTGATGTATTTAACCCCATCATATTTAATTTACGGTTGCGAATGATAATTTTTCCCAATCATTTCAAACATCTAAAGCAGTACATTAAAGTACTAATACTTCCTGCAATACATGACATTTGAATTTTTGCACTAAAACTACACAAGTAAAACATTGAAGTTTAACATTGTTTTTTCTAAGTCAGTCAGCTACGGTCGGGGCTTTTTTTAAACTGGGAGTTTGAAAATCACAATCTTTAATAATCCCCGATTAATATAATTTATGAATCTTTAAACGGTTCTTCGCTCCTAGTTTTAGAATTAATAACAGACTTCATTAACAACTTCATTAACAATTAAAAATGATGAAAACTTACATGAAGCTTGATACTTTCAAGTTGTGTTAGAATCCTATGGATTACATTTCCAATGCTATCTGAAAAGATGGTAAAGTGGTAATTAAATTGAACACTTTCTGTGTTGAAACATAATCACAATGTTGAATAGAATTCTTAAAAACAGTTTACCAAGATTACATGAATAAATTAGAGATTGAGCTAGTGATAAAGTTAATCATGTTAAAAATAAGAATGACTTCAATATTGTTACTGTATCATAATCACATCATATTGTAAATTAGTTAAAAGGTAATATGTAAGCTTTGATGTAATCACCGCATGTTATCAACTTCTCAATAAAATACCGTTCTAGATTATGAGTGACCATTAAGTTAAATTGTTAAAATAACAGCGTATTACACCTTGATCTATGTATATATATATATATATATATATATATATATATATATATATATATATATGAAAAACCTTGAAGCACTAGACAGCTGTTTTTTCCCATTATGGGACTTCTCAACAGTGCTTATCCACGATACCATCGGCGCGAATACTGAAAATAATCAATTGCTTTTGGCATATATGCATCCTGTGAGGATTAGTTCTATACTGTCCTGATACAGACAATAAATAAAGTCGAATCCTTACAACGAAATTATAATTCATTGCCGTTTTACAAGCCATTGTTTATCTAGATCCATTAACTAGGTAGATTACTCATCGCCGTTTGAAATAAAAGGTAATGGATTAGAGTTCCGAAATGAACATCAAAAATGGGATGCAGATACATCCAGCTGAGAAATGCTAAACAATACGAGATGCGCTTCCTAGATCCCATCGCTGCCACTATCCATCTCTGTTTACATAAACTTGCGACTGATAGCAATATTGAAGGAAATCGCGCAGGATGTACTAATGCTAAAAGTAACTGATCACTTACAGTCTTTAACAATAATAATGGTAAAATTTAAACCCTTACAACTGAATTACCATTACTGATTTACAAAACAACTTTGTTTTATGCTTTGTTAATATGAAATTCAATTTAATAAATAGACATTTACATTTTACTTAGAGTATATGAATCATTTTAAAACAGTCAGTTAATTTAATAAATTTATCAGACAAAGTTTAACAGAACTGTGTGGTCTATTAATTTAATACATTTCCAATAATCGAATAACAAATCAACTTGTTAAAACATTAGATAGATTGGAAAATAAGAAAATAACGAGATAATATAGGTAACTTTATACATCATACCATTCTGGATGATTAAACAATTCGTAGTTACACTAAATCTAACCTGGTATTATTGATTTATTGTTCATAGTTGCATGATTCATTTTGTCTAGTTTGATATTCATTAGCCAAATTTAAACATATAGAGAGGATCGTGAAGTGTGTTGAATTTTGATAGCTTACATTATCGACCAATCTGAGTTAGGTGACCACTGAGAACGAGGAAGCTCTGAATGTGGAGTTTGGAAAATGAACAATCACAATCCTGCATGCTAATTACAACGATATGTTCACTAGTGACTAATTATGAGAGTTAAATCTCACAGCTAGAATGATAAGTTATGAATGGTAAAGTTCAACCACAGAAGTTAGTGGAAGATATTCGAGCAATATAGTGAATTGACTGAAGTTAAACATGAACCTTATTGAATATCAGCTCAGTAGTTTAAAATTTAGGCTAGAGATCTAAATGTTTTGAGTTGGACCACTGGTGGAGAGGTCGTGGATGCTCAGTACTGTGAAGTTTCATATTAGAAAGAGATAAATGTCTGGGACTCCACGGTTTTCAATGGCTATCTAACCAATATCAGTCTGTGATGTAAACTATGAAAATATATAAATATTTTAACAAGTAAATGTGTGTCCGACCGTCCTAAATATGTCGTGGTAATGCATCACATATCTAATAAAATTTATCTCATTGTATTGTCTATATTAATCATATATTTGATGTATTATTGCTAGTGGTTAAACTGTCAAGCTTTCATAATCATCTTTTGATGTTCAGTACAACAATAAAAGGCCCGTAATCAATACATTTCACTATTCTATATTGATTATTATTGATGAAATCTAGCTGTTGAGGCTGTAGAATTGACTATAAAATGCTGTACTTACCACTGATGTTATGCCATTAGGAAGGATGAATACCTCAGATATTTATTATATTACTTTTTCTTTCAATTATAGGTACCTACGTGAAGTGAAAACAAAATATTTCTTTTTGCAATAAAACAATAGTTGCGAACTGATCTTACAAATAATACTATCATTTTAGAGTATAAGCATATAAATAAGGCGACTTGAGAATATATATATGCGTTCATTTGTACGGTACACAACGTTAATGGCGTATGTAAGAATCACTTTTTCATTCAGGTAAACTCTATATTTTGTAATGTAAACTCTATATTCACATGCTATTTCTTTATAAAAACCATTTAAGAAACACAGAAAGCCTTGACCAGTGTTCATACAAATAGTGTGTTGAAGAAATTAGATCTCTGTAAGACAATGAAGATTATGTCAAGATATTTAAAAACGAGAAAATCACTTATAGTAATGAGGGGACTGAATAGATTATCTTATCTTCTGAATACTCTGGTAGACTGATACAGAATAGACGTAACGTGGCTAGCAATAGGATTCAGAAGTCTCTTTTAATCCTGTTTGAGGTTCATTAGCTTTTTGTTTAACACGATACTCATACCTTCCACGATTAACTCAAAAGGAACATGAATTATCCATTTAGTGAATGATTCCAGATAGTCATTCACTTGTGTAATCAGTATTAGTTACAGTTCATTTTTAGATGATTTGAATTTTTATTATTTTATGTCACATGTGGCCATAATGGCTGTATCAAGACAATTCGCTTATGATGCACATATGTTGACCAAGACTGCCAAAATTTCAGTCAAAATCATCAACAACGCGATAAGATAGATCATTTCAAATTGAATTGAAACCTCCATAAATGTTTCAAGAAATAAAGAATTAAGGATAGCCACAAAAATGGAACATTTCGTAAGTAATATTACTGATAATCCTAATTTCCTATAAAATTTTCACGACCATGTTAAGGAATAGTTATAAAACAAATTTCTTACAACTTAAATACTAACATTTAAATCTGGACAGACACTTGAAGAATGAAAATAACATAATTATAGTTTACACTGTGTTGTGTACTACTCATATTGACAATAAATAGTATATAATGCTAGTCAGGAATAAAATGTCTGGTAGCAGAAGTTCCAGAAGGTCGAACAGGAAAGAACGGAAACAGAAAGCAATTGATGTTTTACTAATTAAGCATTTACTGTATGATTGTTAGATTTTACTAAAATATTCTGTAATTTATTGTTTAAATACATTCAATTATCCCCTAGTTATGTTCTCATTTACTACTATATAACAAACTGATTCAATTGACCATAAATCTTTGCGTTTATTTTATTAGTAGAAAAAAAGAAAACAATTCACGACAATTAACAAGTTAATAAAGAAATTACCAGACATTTGCATTTTACAATGATATCATATACTGTGGAAAATTACATTGCTATATGTATATATATAGAAAGAGACAGAGCGAAAGAGAGAGATCCTTATAAATATATGCATACATTGAAATAAGGCGTGGAAAAGCTAAAAAAATACATGTATATATATGTTTAACATTGTGCAAACAGGGCGAAACAGACGCATTTACACTCTTTCTTCTTCAAAACGTCTATATATAAATTAAAATTCAACAAGTAGTTGGAGAGGTATATTTTTATAATCAATCATGAACTCTTAACATATGAACTATAGAGAATCATTTCATATGATACTTTTGATTATCTCTGTACATAAAATGTGATATATGGAATGTTTTAATTATAATTATTAGATAATCAAATTATATAACTCAAATGATAACCTTCTTATTCTTATTCTTCTTCATCGTCACCATCAACATCATCATCATGAAAGCAATAATATTGACATTATGTATATAGATATTATAAATGAACATAAAGCGAATTCGTGAAAATGTTCATAAAAAACATAATGAAATGAATGCGATTTTTTGTTATTGTTTTTTTCATCGATTTTTGTTGTTGGACTGGGAAAAATAATTCTCAATCAATAGAGGGCACTTTCTTTTATTTGTTCTTTCTCTTTTTCTTCTTCCTCTTCTTCTTTTTGTTGTTCTTTTTCTTTGTTTTCTTTTTTTTTATTATCTTTCATACTACATTTATGATGTATGTTTTGATTAAATAATTATCTTGATAATGAACGTAAATTGTAACGTCCAAATAATATTTTTCTAAATGCATTACGAAAATCTGGTGAAAATATTGTATAAATAATTGGATTTAATAATGAATTTGAATAACCTAACCATAATATCATACTTTGACCAAATTTTGTTATTTTAAAATTTTTTGTAAATGGTGAAATTAAGGCAACAATAAAAAATGGTAACCAACATAATAAAAAACAACCAGTTATAATAGCTAATGTTAATATAGCTTTACGTTCACGTTTAGCTTCTAAACGTTCACGATTTACTTGTGTTTGTTTTATTGGTATCATATTTGATATCATTGTTATTTCATCATTTATTGTTAAAGATGTAGTTATGGTTGTTGGTATATTTAATTGCGTTTGTAATTCATTAGGTTTATTCATAGTTAATATATTTGTATTCATATTAGATGGTAAATTGGATGTAGATTGAGTGAATATATGTTTATTATTATAAACATTATTACCATTATTATTATTATTATTATTGTGTATATTAAACATATGACATAATTTCTTCCGTAAATTCAATTGATTCTTTGATGATTTCAATGAGTTATGATTATGAGTTTTAATATATTTATTAGTACTTTTATTATTATTATTACTATTATTATTATTATCGATTGTAGTAGTCGTGTGAGTGGGGTTAACAGTATTCTGTTTATAATATGAATGTGTAAGGTTAGAAGTTTCATTTATTGATTCTAAATACAATCCTTGTTCATTATTATTATTACTATTACTATTATTATTAGTAGTATTATTATTATTACTCGAAGTAATGTGATCTAATGTGTAATGTTTATGTTTATTTATACAACAATATGATAAATATTTACGTTGATTTATTATTAAATTTTTATTTTTTAATAAATCGAATTTATTATTAATTTGATATGATTCAAAATGTTGATTTGAAGATGTTGATTTAGTAGAACAACATGGATAAAAGCATCTCAATTTAGGGAGATAACGATTTTGATTTTTAATTGATTTTTTTAATTTATTTCTTTTATGTTTTATATTAGATTCATGAAGATGTTTATTTGAATGACGATGAATAGAATGATGTAGATGATGATTATGTTGATGTCTATGATGATGTTGACGATGATGATGTTGATGTTGATGATGATGATGTTGGTGGTTTTGTTGTCGATAATGATCATCTATAGGAAATGATGATGATTCTGAAAATGAAGATGATGGTGTTGATGGTAATGGTGATGAAGATGATGACCATATCATTGAATTTGTATGCTCTGTAGATGATTCAATTGATTGGGAATTAGAATTCGTTAATTCAGTAAAAAATGTACTAGAATTATTTAAATGTACAAGAATTGATGGAGCTGAATTCCTATATCTAGATAATAATGTATGCTTATATGAATTAAAATTTATTATAGAATTAAGATTATTAAAAGAATTAAATTTTTTAATTTCTTTATAATTGAATTTCATTTCATGTTTATATAAACAATGTTCATTGTAAATATTCAATGTGTATTCATTATTGTTGTTAGGGCTTTGTTTATCACAATAATGTAATATAATTGGTTTAGTATAAATATGATTTTTATTAATATTATCATTAGATTGATAATAATTTGATTTAGTTTCCATATCATCAACATATGGTATAGATACTTGGACACTATTAAAAGTATTATTGTCATTATTATTACTATTATTATTCATAGAATTTTTATTATTTATCATTGTTACTGTTGGTGTCTCTATATGTGTTATTGTTTTTCTTCCAATCATTGTACAATCTGTATCTGCTACTTGTGATGATGATGGATTTTCTTGATTAGTGCTAGTATTATTATTATTTCTAGTAGGAATTAATTTAGCGGAGTATCTATTTTTGTAATTATGACAACAATTACACCAGTATGTGTTTAAATGATGTCTGAATGAATGCTGACGTTGTTGTTTAGATTTCGGTTGTTTCCATTGACTCATACATAAATTAGTTGTTCCTGATTGTTTAAATGCTGAACGTCTAATACGTGCTCTAGCTACTTGATAAATTCGTGCATATATACCTATAATAAATATCATTGGCATATAGAATGCGCCAATATTTGAAAATACTGTATAACCATGTTCTTGATTAATTCGACAACTTGGTGGTTCATTTAAATCTAAATTAGATGAATAACCACCATAATTATATGATCTTGTAGTATGAAATCTTGCTGGGATCGAAATTAATACAGATAAAAACCAAAATATTCCAATCATAATTCCTATTCGACGACCTGTTCTTCGACGAATATATTCTGCATTTGTTACAGCCCAATAGCGATCTAATGCTATACCGACTAAATGAAGTATTGATGCTGTACAACATAATACATCGGAACATACCCAGAAATCACATAATGCTTCACCTAAGATTATTGAAAATAAAATTTTTGATAAAAATGAATTAAATAAGACCCTAATTTATCATGAATTAATTATTGTAAAAGCTTTTAGCATTTAATTGTTTTCCCATTATAATAAACTTATTGTCTAAATATATTGAATATGAGACAAATATCACCAACAGGATTGTTTAATGGTCCTGCGATACTCAAGTTAAGAATGTAAATCATCTCACACCAGCTAAGTAGTATGAATCGTTTGTCATTCTTCAATGAACCCATAATTGAGCCAGACTGAGGAGTGTTATACTTGGGTGAAATAGCTATCTAAACTTTACTTGTTTTCAATAACCGTTTAAGTAATTCCAGTATATAATGTCCACATTCAAATCCAACAATCACTATAACACCTGCTGCTGATGGGTAAACACTGAACATCAGAGTTCTTATAAAGTCGTCGAACTAAAGTTGAACATCAGTTTTGATGTCGAATGATATATTTCTCTGATCTTTATAAATAGTTAATAAGTAACTATTGGTTATAAAATGTTAACCAGGCTTTTTAAACTTAACAATTGAAATGACGAATCAATCTAAGATAAACCACCATTGAAATCCTGTAAGCAGTGTAAGGCCGATTCATCCTATTATGAGACTTTTTGGCAGGTTGCATCCACGATCCGTCACACTTGACTAGAACTCAGGACCTCCTGTCTCGCAAGCAAAGACCTAACCTCTAGACCACTGAACCGGCATCCGAAGATGTCAATGTCTTAATTCAGCCGATCCATAATCTTGCGTAACACTTCGTCCTTTATCTGAAGGAGATAACTTTCACACAACCGACACAATTTGAATTTCACTGGTTACGGTTTCTCATTAGAACTCCAAGAAATCCATCTTGAAACTAGTCACTAAACTAATCAAACAATAGTAAGATTTAACTAACTAATAAATATTTTAAATAGTTGAGATCATGAGTCAACTGTAGGACTCCTGAATAGTGCCCGTCAGCGATCTCGCCTCGCGATATTCCAACACAAGACCTATCGTTCTCTTGCGCGAACATTTAACATTTAGATCACTGAGCCGGTGGATGTGTCACTCAATTTTGTGGATTAGTTTACGTTAGACATTAACATTAATGGATGCCAGCCGTCTCAGTAGTCTAGCGGTTAAACGTTTGCACGCAAGACAGATCGGTCTTGGATTCTAATCTCGTGAGGCAGGATCATGGATACGCACTGCTGAGGAGCCTCACAATAATACGAAACGGCCTTTGAGTACTTCCAGGTTTTCCATGGTGATCTAGATTCTATTGACTCATGAATTCAACTATAAAATTTTACTAAAATCTCTGCAAAAACACCCTTGTTCTGATATTAATAATTATTTACTAGTCACTTGAAAGGAGATATTTGAAAAGAAAAAAAAATAAAGAAACATGAAGATTATTTTTATTTTATAATTGAGATTTGACTAAGCAACCATATTTATTTATTTATTTATTTTCTGACAATTTAATCACTATGTATTTAAATCAAATTGTAGAGTTTAATAATTTTGAACTTTTGAAAGAAATAAAAACAAACAATTTAAAAAAGAGCGAAACTGAAAAAAAAATGTTTTTCTAAAATTATATAATTAAATCTGTCTTTTCAAGTTGTATAGTTAATAATTGAATTCAATCCCGATGTATTATATATATTCAGTATATGAACAAAAGTGTATTGAGGATATGTATATACTTATTCTTCAATTGTATAGTATTTGTCAAAATGTCTTAAATGAACTTGAATATATTTTTTTTAATTTTATAGTTAAAACTAATCATCATGAATCTTATTTATTATTTCCTAAGAAGACATGTTTTATAGGCAAATATAGACAGTGGCCAGCAGTGGAATCTAGGACGCGCGTTTCTTCCTATTTGGGACTTGTCACCTGGATGAACCTGCATCTCAGAGTTGACGTTCACTCCAGGACTCGAACCCAGTACTGTTCTCTTCAAACGCCATCGTGTTATCCACTTAGCTACTGAGTCCTGATAACCACTTGCTTGTGCAATGAGGTGAAGTTAAAATCCACTTGGTGTTGTTTAACTGATCAACTACAGTCCAAAATAACAATAGGAAGATAGAAGTAAAACAACGCCAAGTGAATTTAGGACATGTTTACTTGATATAATATAAAATAATGCAGATGATAATATTTCCCTTGAATACAAAAAAATAAATGTTTTTATTACTATAAGGTTGTTTAAGATCATGAATCGATTGATGTTAGACAACTATTGAAAAGCTGAAAGTGTTGAACGGTTGTTTTTGTTCTATTATGGGAGTTTTCAGCAGTTCGTATCTACAATCTCGATGGTGGGATTCAAATTCACGACATTCAGTTGGAAAATGTAAACGTTTAACTTCTAGATTACCATGTTGCCTAAGTAACCTATAGGTTAAAAGTTCACGTGCAAGACCTAAGGTTCTGGATTTGTATCCCGCAAGCGAAATCGTGGATGTGCACTGCTAAAGAGTCCCATTATAGGACGAAATGGACGTTCAGTGCTTTCGGGTTTTCAGTGATGGTCTAACATCAATCAATTTATGTAACGCGTTATTAGAATTCAGTTTATTTTTTCCTCAAAGAAACGTTACATTTAAAACTGGGTAAAATATTAGAATGATAAATTTAGTTACAATGGCATACAGTACACGTTACCTATGGTGTAATAAAAGATTGAAAATATTCTTGATTTTTTTTTTGTTTTTCTACGATACTGCAATTTGCAATCAACATCTTTATAAAAGTCTAGGATATATGTATATATACCCTGAAATGATGATTGATATATATTACATTGCAATGTGACACTCAAATAATGAGTATTTTACAGATAGTCAATATATTGTACATTCAGACTTTCTGTTATTCTCTAATATATATATTCGAGATCTTATGAAGTGAACCTATTTCATGTAATGTAACCATAAAGTTAAATCAAATCCTACAGAGATTTGTTTCCATTTCACGGAGTTATGACAAACCAGCTATATTATCTTGTTCATAACACATGTGTACCACAGTCTAATCTCAAAAGATTCATCTTTATGCATATATATATATACCTCCGTTGTTAAATAATTAATTTTCAATTAAATCTAAAGGATAAGATAGGAGTAAAAATTACTAAACCAAATTAAATTGTTTGTGTTTACATGTTGGATATTGAACATTTTAATCAAAATCTTTATCTGATAATCTCGATAATGGTTTGCATAAATTAGTTGAATGTAAACATTCATTGTAAATTGATTGATAGTAGACCATTGAATTCTATAGTATTTATTTAACGTATAGTTATATGAGCTTTATTCATTATTGTGTAGCTTCATTGAAAGTCATTATTTCAAAACCGACATAACGTTTTTATGTGATGAAACTTAACAAACTCATTCTGTGAATATGTGGTTTAACTAAGTAACCGATTTTTATTACAGTGTTGCCAGATGAATGAATGAAACGAGCTCATTGAATTCCAAACTTATTTATGCTTTAATTTTTATATTTGTTTTTTGAATTTTTTCATTGATGTTTAGAACTGTGATTAATCTGACTCTTTTGACATATGTACATCCTGTACAGATCGCATCGATATTGAGGAATAAAGTCATACATGTTCATTGTTAGCCGCCATTCAACTTTGTTTATAATACTTACAGATAGCTGTCTGAACTCAGTAACTCAGTGAATAACATGATGAAACTGGGTTCACGTCACATAGTGAGCATCTATACTAGGATGCAGATACATTCATCTAACTATTCATATTGAAGACGATGCAAATACCCTGGATTTCACTACTGGCCATCTCCTGACTCTGCTTATAATTACATTTTTCTTGTACAATCCAATCCAATTAATGACACTAAGATCACAATATATACATAGTTTCTACATATAGAACACGATCATGATATTGTTAGAGGTTCACATACAATCATCCTTGAACCTTAACTTTAAATGAATAATAAAATTTTACCATTTGAGAATACCTTATATCTTTCCAGATATGTTGGTCATTTTAAACCTTAAAATCTCATCCATAATACTAACCTTATTAATCAAATCCTTGAACCATGATTTATTTACTTCATAATTGAAATATTTGTATACGTTGTTCATTGAGTAGTAATGTTACATTTTATATCTATTAAACTGTATGAAAATGAAATGATCATTCCCTTTCCGCTCTTATTAAATATGTATATGTTAATTCCGTTATTGTCAATTCACATTAATCATCTCTTACATAATCTAAATGTTTGTCTATTTAAACAGAAACAAAAAAATGTATAAAACCTAATGAGTTTCATCGCCATATAATAATAAATGAATCTTTGTGTATGGATATGAATACATCATGGTCAATAATGAGACTGTAATTTACTGTACTGTATGTAATTGTTCAGATACCAACCCATCTATCATGATAATAATAATAATACTTATATTTATCTGACAATTTTCTTCATGGGAACATTTGTTATTATTAATAGAATTATACATTGAAAAACAAATATCTAACTATAGAATACAGGAAAATAGCATACCATTAACAATGTAGTTATATAATATGCACTGAATGAGTTACATGAAGGAAACCGATAATAAATAAAAAAAATAAACAAATTCTTATTAATGACATAGTTACTAATAGAATAGAAATGATTTAGAAACTACTAATAGTGTAGGTATAAAATTAGAATAATAACATTGATATAATAAAAAATTACATCACCGTTACCTGGTGTGTACAGGATATTATTGATGTATTGTTATTTACAGATTGATTTTAACAGGGAAAAAATAGGTTGGTGTAAATAGTTCAATTACTGAGTTAGTTTTGATTGTATAAATAAAATGTAGTTCCATCTATAGCAAGTATTTGTTATAACTTGTGGCCTGAGCGCCCTGTTAATGTATAACGTAACGATACCACCAATCAGAGAGCAGTGAATTATCGA